CTGCGCGATTCGAGATTTGGCAGAAAATCGGGACAGGCAACGAAGAACAGAAACACGACGATAGACAGGAAAATGAAAATTCTGAAGTCTTGCATTGCCGATTTAAGCTTCATCGAGGCCTGAGACAGAGGTGGGAAGGGGTGAAAAAACGGGACATTTCTTTGATGTCCATTTTATTTCTTTCAAAAAGTAGAGACGTTGTGAGTTTTAGATCACATAAACGCAATCGAGCGCCCAAACACACACACACACATTTATATATCTACATTCTTTGTACATATATATCTGGGTGTTTGTGTATGTACTATTTAAAACAAGTGCTATCGTTTTAACCAATACATTCATTACAAGCTTTATAAAAATGATCTGAGCAGAGGATATAATTGTAAAAGGAGTCAAATATTACGTCTTTAGACAAAAAAATATACCGAAATCTTTCTTTAAAATTAGTATCAAACTAAATACTGGTCACTATATTCTTAAATTACCCAAACATAAAAAAATAAAGATACATATAGAAAAATAAATGGCAGAATACATCAAATAAAAGAATACGTAAAAAAATACCCTTTTGGACGAACACAGAGCCGTTCAATGTTCTCCTAATGAGCTTGCTCTCGATACTGACCAAGTGTTAAGAAATATATTCCCGTTGACAACCCTCACGTGTTGAGTGAAATTACCCAATTTTCAGTTTCAGTTCGAAAACCTTAGGAGTTGGCTTTTGAGGCAGTGAGAAGGTAGTGCACAGGAGTCCATAATCGATCGTTATTTTTATACACGATCTTTATAACAGCGACGATGATAAGAGGATCGGGAAAACGGTTAACTTGTGATCTATTGTGACTCTCGTAGTGCACTGCAGGACCCTCTCTCTGCCTGAACAACACACACTCTGTAGTGGGACTCTTCGCCCACTCCTTGTCCTACCACGGTACCTCCCCCCCCCCTTTTTTTTTGGTATGACAAGTCCATGGCACGAGTCAGTCAAGGAACCCAACGGAAAATGGGCACCGATATTGTTTTATTTATTATCCTTCTGTCAAGAATTTTTCTCCTCATATGTTTTTCTTTGGTGATGGAGATGCGGGCCGCCGCCCGTAAGCATGTGCGCAACGTACGTGGGCTTAGCCACGTACGTGCTAATAAAATTACCACCTATGCCTAGTTAAGTCGAGAAATTGTATGGCGTCTGCTAGTGACGTCATACTAGTGGCTTGTCATGCCGTCATTAGTGACGTCATGAGCCGTGACTGCAGCCACTCACGAGTCTCCACGAGGGGTAGACAATACCCCTGTAGAGGGCGCTGATACCCCCTGGTACCATTTGGGTAGTACCATTACCGGGGAGATCTGGTCTCGCCTCCTTCCTGCTCGCACACCCCGCTGCTTTAACACGTAAGGTCACGGTTAATATTATGTATTTTACATGGAAATCACCAATTATTTCTTTGAAGCTTTAGTGACTGGTGCAAGTATGGTAAACATGTAAAATAGGATCCAAGACGAAAATAAACAAGCAAGCAAGCAGCGAATTGTTCATGATTTCCCCCTGGCTAATTTGTGATGAAAAGTTCAATGTAAAGTATTGCTGGCTATGAACTACTAATGATTTACTGAAATACTTCAGTAGATGTACAAGAGAATTCATTATATATATTTTACCTAGTATTAAATGAACTTGTTTCCTCACGTATGCGAGTGCCGTGACCTGGACTCCCCCGCTCATCCGCTTTGGCCGCTACCACTACATGTCCGATGTACGATGTGGGGGGTGGCCAGGTGGTTCTCGCATCAGGTAATTTAAGGTAAAAGGAAGGTGAACAGATCTCCGAGGGACACTGACCTGGAATTGTCCCGGTATTATACGAGAAGTAGCAATACTGCGTTACTGTTACCTTACAACTCAGTCATAAAGAAGGTTGAAGATCGGCCTGCAATGGAGAACATGAAATGCAGGTGCCATGATTATCTTGGTATTAACAAAATAAGGTATAAGGAAAGTCTCTCTATTTCATAATCCTCCATCTATCTACCTGCATTCCGAAGTATTGCGGACATTGCCAGCAAGTAACATTTTCTCAAAATCTCACGTATAGTGTGGTAGGGTGACAGTGATTTGGGATGTCTGTAGGCCTACACTGACCATTTTTTAAAATTTGTCTAGAAAAAAAAAAAAAAAAAACGTACAGCCATTCCGGTATCACATCTGAATAGACTAATTTTTCTACTATAATATGAGGTACCCAATTTTTAGAAGACTGGCTTCCCGCCTGAGCGCCATCGGGTCATCGCTTACGGGGTTTTCTCGTCGGGCAGGCTTGTGTTGTAACTCTACGGGATAACACAGCCACCTTTCACACTAACACTGTCATCCATCCATATAAAGAATTCAGAGAACTAAAAACTGAGATTCGTAGTAAACACTGGGAACAATTTTTGCAAAGCATCAATAGTCAAACTTCCATGGCTGATGTATGGAGAAAGATTAATAGGCTGACAGGTAAAGCTCCCACAACACCGCAGTTTCACAGCCCACAAGAACAGGCTAATATGCTACTGGAGCAGTGGGCTGAAAACTCTCAGCTGAGCTCACTTCCACAAGGGATAAAAGACCATCTCGACAAGTCAAAAATAGATAGGAAATTCAATATAGCAGTAGCCTGTGCTGCTATTGACCCATCCGACTTTGCCGAAATAACCGAGTGGGAACTGAGAAATGCCCTTGTGAAAGGCAAGGCAACAGCCCCTGGAGAGGATGGCATTACTTACAGTGTTCTTCGCCTCATTGCGCAGGTGCCAGGCAACCCACTCTTACACCTGTATAGACTCAGCCTATCACAAGGAATCCTCCCTAGCTCCTGGACTAAAAGTTTAATCATCCCAATACCCAAATCCAACACTGACAAATACAGACCAATTTCCTTGACCTCCTGTCTGTGCAAAGTACTTGAGAGAATAATTCTGAACAGACTCATGTACCGTATACATGCTAAGTTTATCCCCAGACTGTATGGATTTTCCCAGGACGTAGCAGTCAGCATTGTTTTGCAGAATACTTAACAAACTCAATACCAGGCATGCAAACCGTATTTCTTGATCTTCAATCTGCCTTTGATATTGCAAACAGAGAAATGATCCTTGAGCAACTAGCTAGCTTTGTATTCAGGGAAAACTGTTAACATGGATTCAAATGTATCTATCCAATCGATCGGCTCAGGTTTTCTTCAGGGGTGTTAAGAGTATTCATGCAAAAGTGTTTGAACTCGCACACCTCAGGGAGGCGTACTTAGTCCCATGCTATTTAATATCCTAATGCATAGATTACTAGGCGATATACCACTTGAGGGCAGTGACTCCATTATTTGCTATGCCGATGATATTTGCATTAAATCCTCATCCGAGGAGAGAATGCAACAGATCCTTGATGTGCTTTCAGCAGGGCTACAGAGTGTGGCTTGATAATATCGACTGAAAAAACCAAGGCACTTAACCCTAAAACAATCCCTCTGCCAAGGTTTCACATCAATGACGTTGAGCTATCTCTGTCACAATACAAATATCTCGGGGTGGCTGTTAATGATGCAGAGTTCATTACAAAACCTGAAGAAAAGGCTGTGGGAACGTCTGAACCACTTAGGACACTTGTCGGCAAAGACCATGGTATTAATGTCAATATTGCTAGACTCTTTTACCTGTCATACATACGGTCGGTCATAGATTATCATGCACCGCATCGCACCTAGTATTATACAAGGAATCAGAGTTGGCTAGTTTTAGAAATTGTACAAAATGAGGCCATGAGGCTTATTCTCGGCGCCCCTAAGACAACGAGGATTGTGAATATGAGATCAGAACTTAATTTGCCGTCTGTCTATGAAAGAAATTAATACATAACACCACTTTTAGCGTCAAAGCAATAAGAGAACCTCTTTGTACAGAGTTCCGAAGACAACTAAAAACATAGAATAATGGAGCCAACTTTAAAAGACAACATCGATCCAAACTTAATTCCATGCAACAAAGTAAAATGTAAGCACTTATTCCAGCTGAATATACCCACAACTAGACTCTACATGGACGTTCTGCTCCACCGTAGAAAATGTCAGCCCTAAGTGTATTTTATACGACTGCCCCAAAAAAAAGACAGTGTCCTCCCTGCTGTACTTAAGCAGTATGCTTTAGCAATTATCAATGAGCACCTTGAAACTATGCCCAATGCGTATGAATGCTACACTGATGATCCTTGCAGTCTGGGAGTAGAGCAGGATGCGCTTTTGTCGTATATAAACAATATTTTGCAGCACCAGGATTGTAGGCGGGTTCATGACTGGGCTAGCACTACGCAAACTGAGTTGGCAGGAATGCTCATAGCCACGAATTTCTATTAAGTCAAGGCTCAGGAGTCATTTTCTGCGACTCACAGAGTGCTCTCCAGGCATTGAACACACTTAGACAAAGGTGCAGGAAAATATTGCAAATGACATAAGGATAATGTGTATCGTGCAAAAGAACGAGGCCATGATATACGTTTTTGTGTGGATACCATCGCATGTTGGAATCCCCAGGCATGATCATGCTGACCGCCTAGCAAATCAGCATGTGACAAGCAAAGTGTTGATATAGATCTTGGAGTACTCTTGCTAGGATTTCACACATAATTAAAACTTCCTTCAAGAGGACTTGTCTGACTTGATTAATTCTCAACGGCCTGAAAGCTGTAGCATAAAGCACTATGACAGGTTTATGCAAGATGTTTTCATCTATGGTTTATACAAAACAAGAACAAGACCAGTGTGATATTGTGACCGCAAGAATCAGGCTGGGATATAGATTGTACTGGCAGGTCAGTACAGCCTGTAATGTTGAAGAAACGAAGTGTAAATTATGCAATGAAGAATATAAGCGAACACTTGTACATTATATCTCAGAGTGCCATGTAATACAGCCTTTCAGACCACCTAGCATGAGGTATGGAGAACTATGTAACTACTTCATATCATCTGATGTCTTGGAAGATATAATAATGTTATATCCTAAATTTGGAATGTAGTATCACATGACCACATATCAAATGTTACATTGCCTTTCCACGCCCAAGCCGTATGCCGGCTTGACAGATGAGTAGATAAATTACTGATCGTTCTTTTCCTTTAAATGATATATTTTAGACCGTAATAATTTTATGATATAGATTTATTCTGTAATACTATTATTAAATGCTTTGACCATGTATCAAATGTACTACAGCTTGCCCACGCCTGTGCAGTTAGCCAGGGTGGTAAATAAAGGACTAAACTAAACTAAAAACACTGTCATCCAGTAAACTCCGTGACCTCACACGAAGAGGTCGTGTGGTTCTCTGCTCCGGTGCCCTCGCCCCTTATACATGCATCTCTGGTGTCATGTACGAGGAAATTGTACAAGTTCATGAATCTTTTGGTGCGCATATACCTCGCAATTGAAACGTCATGAGAATAGTGATGTGAACATGGTTACGTTTTAAATTCAGTTGAATTCATTCCTCCACCGAGTGCCAAGTACTGTGTTAGACCGTTGGAACTGAGTTCCCCGTTGCCCCGAGCGCCATAATTCACCTGTTACAAGGCGGGCGAGCCAGGCCCACGAT